AGACTATTAACGCGAGTTGCGTACACTACTTTACCTACGACCGTTTTTTAATTACTATCAATCTGGATTTAATTACTAACAATAACTACTGATAACTTTTTAGAGAGGTTATGTTTTCGTGTATTGTCATTGCCACTGAAAGTGATGCAACGACTTGTTGTATAATCAGCTGATTTCCTGTAATTACGTGTTTGTTAAACTTTGTTAAACTTCATTGCTAGCAGCATTCTTACCATAAATAATATCGTATCAGGTACGATTCGGCAAATATTTCATTTATTTTTGGACTTCCACCAACTTAATTAAGAATACGCGAGTATCAACATGAACAAGTCGGATCAACAATTAAATTGGTCAACTGATCAGCTGATCAGCTGATTAGTTGACGTTCGAAGCATTACAATTTTAATTCTTTTCTCTCAATACTTGAACCTCATTGGCCCGTTACCTGTGTGGATATGAGAAAACTATGCGGATATGAAATGAAACTATGCGGATATGAAAGTAAACAGCTGTAAAGTGAAACTTTTCAATTCTAAGAACTGGACTGAAATGGCTACTTTAAAAAACGGTCGTAGGTAAAATATTTTACCAAACTTGATTAAGAAACTACATTTAACCCACTTAACATATTTGCCTAAACATTTCCACAATATCGCACAGGCACACTTTAAAGGGTGCGAGTGTAGCTTATGGGTAAGCTATACAATGAGCTATTGAGAGTTAAGTATGACTATGCAGCAAGTAGATCTACAGAAGAGCACTCTTGTTTCAAGTATGTAGGAGCTGCTCTTGAAATGGCTTATTGTTGTACATCCGTTATATGCTTTACATGTATTGTTCATGTAATAATACCAAAATTTGCTTGTACAGTATATGTGTTTATGAACAGTTTTCTTATCGTATTTTGTTTATGGATATCTATTCATAAATCCCATAAGTACCCATGAACCTTTGAGAAAACTACAAGTCACACCCCCAAAAATATACCTAAAAGTTTCGTCATGACGTTAAACTTTGCGCAAAACTATCCATTATTTCATAAATTGCCCTTTAAGGTCGTAATTCCTTTCTAAAGGGAACTTTCCATATACCTAATGTTAAAAATACCTCAGCTGTACGTATTTGTATGTTATTCTTTCAATATATTACCTTATCAAAATCATGTGTGATTATTTGTTTGTTTTACTATATTCTGTTTTGTTTATTTCAACTTAACTTAACCAATCAAACTTTTTTATAATACTTAATGAAGTCAAACGGGGTGAAGCCCGTGGGTAACAGCTAGTTATAAGTATTAGATATTGTAGGTAATGTTGTACATTTGATAGTCTAATAGTCCTAAGTAATAGTCCTAGCTAAGTAACAGTTGCATAGTAGTCAGCAACACAAAACAAAAATAATCTCACTCCATTCTATTTTTTTCTTTATATCGTATTCAGGTAAAAATTCGCAGAATTTTGTTTCTGTCCTAACATTATGATATTCATAATGATCGTAACTATATTGTATTCCAATAAACATTCTTAAAGTTTGAAAAACTCACTTTCATAGGTCTAAAATCGTTGGTTGGCTACCTTAAATTCTTATAAAAGGAAGGAAGGATAACGAATTTTGTAAAAGTATAAATGAGCAAGTTTAAGTGTTTACCCATTCGGGGCAGAGCTTTTAGTGAAAGTCGAAGTACAAAACCGCTCTTATAACTTTTCTCATAAAGATTTCAAAATGATCGGGCTCAACTCTTCGAGGTTTTTGAACTTTTGTGTCTAATATCGTTTCTCGAATGATAGGAATTATCTTGCTTTTTATTAGACAAAATACCTCAGATAGCTAAAAATTGGGATTTCTAATTTGTAATAGTTATTATTATTTACAAAGACTTGATTGTATTATTTTATTTTGATCTGGTGATGCAATTTATCCAAATATTGGATGGCTAGAAGGGAGTAGTAAACAGGTTGACTCACAAAATTGCATCATATAAAATTCACAGGAAGTTTTACATTCGCTATGTATATTACATCACTAGTTTCGTCAGCTTTAGAAAGATGACAAAACACAACCAATGCGAATATACATACCTGTATGTGGTTATTATTATTTGTCGGTACTGTTAATGATTTTAGTAAGATATTCAATACTTGAATAGTTAGTCATGCTTCTGCATCCATCGGAGGGGGTTAACCGATTCAGAAAAAAGATTTCCCTTGCTTGAAAGTTTCAGCCCTTTATATTTCTTAGTAAGAGGACCAAGAGTTGAAGGTGGATTCCGAACCCCCGGGTCACATATATCACATCGTTAAAAGCCATTATTGATTGATAGAAACCCCGTGCTCTAACCGTCCAACAAACCAAGCCGTCTCGGATAGTTTCTACGAGTTTGTCCTTGAAATGATTTATATATGTTGGGCGTGACCTTTCAGCGCCCATTTGTAATAATGGTCCCATAAAGTAAGAATTTCGTGAATTAACACTCCTTTGCTAGTTAGGTAAAGGTGAAAGGAGATAGAGAGAGAGGGAGAGAGGGGGAGAGGGAGAGGGAATGAGTTGTGTGACAGAGAAAGAGAGTGAACTTCTAGGTCGGCCAAGGTTATTCCAGTATCAAAGTTTCAAAATAAATACAATCATTAAATAAATAAAGGATTAATCAATGCAACTTGTGGCATACTACATAACTCTTGAGCAATCCTGATATTATCAGTGCATCTGCAAATCACAGTGTTTGAGTATTTTCCGTAACGAAGTAAATTAAAAATATTTTTTTTTGCCTATTTAAAAAAGGTGCGTTACGATTAATTTATAATGGAATAAATTTGTGCCCTTAAAATACATAAAGAAAGTTTTTTAGTTTTGCACACAAAAGTATTCACCGAAGAACAGTAACTAAACCAACCAGTAGATTATGTATTTTTTTATTAATGTCTGTTTAGTAGCAGATTGAGATTCAGTAGTGTCTAGTAATTTTTTTGTCGTTTACTAATCCAATAGTTTCCATTAGTAAGTAAACCTATGTCAAATCTCGTGTGTGCTTATGAAGTCTCATATATATACAGGGTGTTTAATAATCAGTATCAAAATGGTATAGCATTATTATGCACCCAAATTATACAGTAACAAAAACACACAATTCGTACAGTAATATCTCAATCTTTATAAAGATTTCTACTTTTAGATTTAAACAATTTCTTGAAATTGACAAAAATGTAATTTTTCAATCCTTGGCCATTACGATGATTTTTTCAATGGTAAAAAAGAAAATATAATTACATTTTCTATCAGAATAAGTATAATTTAGTACAACCAGATGATTTTCAAAACTTGTAAAATAATGTTGTACGCATTACTAAACAGAATTTCAATATTAGTTAGTTCCATTATGATGTATCTAGAGTCTGTTTTGCCCCAAGGAAAAGAGTTACTTCACTCTCTTAACGTAAACAACTGATTTACTTATGGGAAAACATATTAGTTATTGGTTAGTGTATAAAGTGGAACACAGTCCAGTAATTAAATAGGTTAGTTTTGTAGTAGTTTGTATTGTTTGACGACCTTCGCCGAGAAATTATTCATACCTTTTTTTGCAAAGTGTGTATTATGCTGGGACATCAGACATGCTTTTTTAGATTACAAGAAAATAGCACAAATGCATGGTGATAACGTTATGTGTTTCGTGTATGTCGAAGTTGTATTAAAAGCTTTACACATAGTTGCCATAGTACAATCGATAGTTTTAAGTCAATATTTTTTACGCAGTATTTAAAAAAATGAGAATTATTGAAACTATTGAACTTGCGAACTAATATGTAGGACTACAGTATACCTACAAAAGTTTCATCATCAAAAAGGATGACAAATCTAGGGTTTATCTATGATGTAATATTGCAAAATGCGATTAATTATTTTTCCAAACGTGCAACCTATTCTATTTTTAACTATAAGTTTAAATTTTCTTAGAAAAAAAATCTGCAATCAATTTGAATTTAACTTTTAACGCTTTAATACAGGCTCCAGTTTACGCAACTAATGCGAATATAATGTTTATCCAGCAAATATGAGTATGGAGTGTTTTAAATAAATCTTAAACCAAAACGATTTGTTTCTGATTTCTGATGGTTGATGTAATTAGCCTAAATATTTGCTACGCTAACAAGTTGTCCAAATAAGTTGGTTTTAAACGCAATATTTAATCACCTTCTGCAAGTGTGTTTGGTACATGAAATTAACTAGTTTCTCAAATAGACTTTTAAAATTAAAATTCTACTATGTTTGTGCATGTCTTAGTAGCTTCCTGTTGAAAGCAAACGCAAAAAGTGTTTTTAGTACTTAAAATATTTACTTAAAACCATAAATACTAATAGTATTTCAATACAAATTCTATTTATCTTGAAATTTATTGAAAATAATAATCAAATGCCGAAAACAAATTTTGTATTTAAGGTGTATTACGAGTTAATTTTTCTGGGTCATGCCAATGTGTGTTGCTTTACTTTCATAAACTACCGTTGAATAACGGACTCTTCCATTGATTTTTTCATTTTTATGAATGGACCGTTGTTTAATGAAGTGTTCATTAAAAAGTCCATCTATTTGTTTACTACAACCTATCCCCTGGTATTACAAGCAAAGAGAAAAGTACACTTCTTAAAATTTACCCTGAAATAAGAGACAATAGTTTTAACTGCTATTATCAACCTCTATGGTAACTGAACTCACAACACACGCCAACACACGTTTTAGACTTTCAAGATGTTAATGTTTCTACTCGTACTATCCCAAAACTTTGTCAATGCATAATGAATGTAAGTTTTCATCTTAAAATGGACAAATATTTTATTTGTTGTCGCAAATTAATTTCGACAAGAGTTTCAACAAAATTATGATAAGCCCATTGTAGTAAACATGTTCAAACCATTAATAAACTTTACTAATGAATTACAAACCCCCTGCACACTTACAAATATACACAATTACACAGTATTAAAAATAAGAAAAATCCAAACCTTGTTTTTTCTCGTATTCCTCCCTTTTGCTCGCACCATTGACTATTTCAATTTTCCTCTCATCCATCACGATCACACACACTGCACTGTCCACTATACGCTACGTATATACGCTTCACTATACGCTATACGCTATACACCACACGCCGCAGTCGCTACAGTAATGCCCGCTCGGCGCGTCTAGCTAAGTATATAGCGTCTGACGCAATGTCGCCGTCAACTACAGTGGACCTATGAGACATTCATTCATGCCAAACTTCTCAGTTCTGATCAATAGGTTGTAAACATTGATTGTTTACGTCATCTAGGGATAATCAGGTGAGGTGTAGAGGTAGTGGCTTCGGGCCAGAGGTTATGGGTTCAAATCCCATCATTGACCTAAACTTTGTTAGCAGTAATGAATTAAGTTAAGGGTGTTTTTCAGCATCTTAGTTAGCATCCAATGCATACGGTGGTAAAAAAGACAATCAAAATTATTTTAACGTAAAATTGCAGTCTCTATTTTGTTTAAGTTAACCTAGATTTCAAAGTAAGAGGGGGTCAACCTGGTCTAGTGGTAAGGTGACGAGGCAAAGTCCTGCTCTCAAATCCCTCCATTCAGCATTATTTTTTTTACAATGTAATATATTATATTCTGAGTTAGTTACCTCGAAGAATTTAGCACTATAACTTAATAGTTCATCACGCTGTCCAAATGTTTTTTTTCGACCTGTGATCATTACCAACAAGATTTCAAGTTTTCAAGCTGATTTTGTACTTTACTTAAAGACGAAAACGAAAAATAAATACGTGCTGTACGTCTATATTCTGACAACGTATGATATACATAAGCATTAGTAAACTCGTGACTTTTTACTTAACAAAGAGTGCAGCCGTTGACTTTATAAACTGAAGTAGACCTAATGTGTGCATCTATTACAGTTGCCTCCTCTATTTAGGTTTATTATATTACTTATGACATGAAGTTACAATGGTGTACAATAATTTCTATTTGCTGTGGCAACAGTTTAGTGTACGAACAATACATTTCATATTAGTCTAAAAATGGTTAAAAACGTATGTGGCAATGGAATATTTGTGTACCTTACGTCAAAGATAAACATAGAAATTTAATTTTTAACAATAAAAACCTAAATTTGAAAGAGCATTTCAGCTTTGAGACACATAAATAACTAAGAGAAGTGTACCAATGTTTAAACAAGCTCGTTTACACAAACAATACCAGTATTCTCAACACAAATTAGCATATATATACATAATCCATCAAAAAATCACTGTTAATATTCGCGTTCTTTGATCAATACGTCATTCAAAATACATATTTTAACTGACGACATTATTCACCCTTTATCACGTGACAGATTTGTTCCGATCATATGAAACCCAGATGAAACAATCCACAGAGGACTGTATTAACAATGCTTTGTGAAATGCAGATGTAGATCCTTCTAATTCTGGCTTTTGTAAAGGCAAGTACGATGTATAGCGGGGACCTGTCATTTGTTATTGTTACAATCCCTGAATCAACAGTTTAGAAAGCGTATCCCGATCCCCAGGGACCCTGTACCATGGTGTCAGTGACAGGGGAATAATGTTTGATAAAATCAACAATTTGTTAGTTTTGTTCGCAATATGTGAAAAGAGTTGTTTGTTCTGTGTGTTATCGGTTGATGAAATCGTTTTGGACTGTGAGTTTTGATATTGTTAACATTTGTGGGAGGTAAATGTTTCATCCAGATTTTGATCCAAAAATAATTTGCTTAAGATATTTTTGAATAAAAGTTACAGAACGATTTTAATTATTTGTTTCCCTAAAAATACAGTGTATTGGGTTGTTAGAATACATCAAATAAACACTCTATTGAATACTCAAAATCAGAGAACTGCTGGTTATGATTCTATAACGTTCATAGTTCTAAGTTCTATAAGTCCACACATCTGAGAATTTTCAATTTAAAATTTTGTGAATTTTCTCCGTAGTCAGTAACCGTACAAAACACTTCAATTTGCAAAATTATTAGTTTTTAAGCTCTTCAAAAAGTTTTAGAGAGAAGTTGGAAAACTTTATGTTTTGTGGGTTAAAAATGAGAAAACCCAGTTTTTACCCCAAAAAACACCCCATAAAACGCCGTTTCCATTCAATCATGCTGGTATGCAAACTCATTCATGTTTATCCCGCCTTACACCTTCAAAAACCATTTAATCAAAATCGGAAAAATTCTCAATTCATAGGGTTCATGGACATATATATAACATTATGAACTGATGGTGATTTTGACCTCTGGGAACCTCAAAACGACCATGTAAATCGTCCCGAGTCCAAGTCTACCATGAGACCAAGTTTACACCTTGGCTACCTCCTGGACAACGGCCCCTCTCTGTCCTGATTTGAGGGTGATTCAAGGGCATGTGAATTTGTGAGTTGTGTTGTAAACGTAGGTTTACACGTTTTTATCAAATTTAATCGCAATCGGATAATTTTTGCTCAAGTTATCGTGCTAACGGACATATGAATTCAAGCGGATGGTGTTTTTGACCTCTGGGGACCTCAAAACGAAAAAGTAAATCGTCCCGTGTCCAAGTCTACTGTGAGACCTACGGTAATAGCTTATTCAATGGGTACTTCGCTAAAAGCACCAACAATGTAAAAGTGCGTGATTATATTCCACACTTCTCAGTTGCAGATAAACCGTTACCAGTGTTTGTAGTTTTGTGTTTGTAAAGAACATGATAACCTTACAACTTATCTTTGTGTCGAGTTCACCGCGGAGTAAGGTCTTGATAGTCTTGTGGTACATGCAGTATGTCTAACACCAACAGTAAGTGGTTGTTTATTACTCTGTGTAATCGTTAATTGCGATCGTACTAATTGGCTAAGTTGTTTGCTGTAAGCAGATTTGTGGATGTTATGAGGTTCAATGGTTTGCTGGGAGAGTTGAGTTTGATTTTGAATTTATTGTTGGATAGTTTTGTTTGGTGGCTATAGTATGAAATAATAACTAAAAAAGTTAGTTTGTTCTAAAATAGTACCATGATATAACATACAGTGTATGCACGTGTATGTATTTTATTTTCAAAAGTGAGTTCATTGTTGCTGTTGATTAAAATGATTGAAAATTGATTATATTTCATACAAAAATACATTTTCAATGGGTATGACGAATACCTAAACAATTCAATATTATGGGTAGTAATAACTTGATTCAGCAGTTAGAAGTCACTCCTCTCAAGCAAAAAGAATATTGTCTTCATTTGAAAATACTCATCATCTAAAAGCTTAAATAAATAACTAGTAAGCTAAAAGTTCACACATATTAAATTAAGAATTACCTTTTGAAAAATCCATTTTCGTTTTACAGTAACTTAAATAAAAAAATAAAAAATACGTTTCAACGAAAGTGGTGAGTTTACCTGAATATGATTTAAGAAAATAATATCATTAATATGAGTTATTTATTAGTAAGAAGTCTAAATATAATATTAAATTATATAGTTAAAAACTAGATCATTACTTACATGAAGTAAAATTGTGAATTACTAAATTTATTAAGGTAAATTAAAAATTAAATAACTTTAACTTTATTGTGGGTGAGATGGTTGGAATCGAATCCTTGATGGGAGGGTATTTCAAAACAATTCCAAAACCTATTAAGGGATCCGCCACACACCGCTGGGCAGTAGGGGGAGATTGTAGCTTAGATAGGGGAGGGGGGGGGGAGGCAAAATAAACACACTGCATCCCTGTATAGGTTGCCTAACTTAAATCAACCTTTAGTTGAAAAGGGAGTGTATTATTTTGTGATTGTCATATATTTCCAAACATCTTATTCTGCAATCATAGAAAAACTCGTGTATATAATATGAGAACTAACGAAATTTGTCAAGTTTTAATAAGCTACATTATAATATAACGAACCAGGTTATATCACTAATTATATACACATTAAAATATAACCAACCTTGTATCATTAGTTGTTTACACTGTACATTGGAATACTCAAACGTAAGAAAATGTATTGAGCTTTAAAATTAGCGTATACGTTTATCTACAAACATAAAGGTTTAAGTTAGTGACAGTAGTAACAATACTATTATTAAAACGGTTTCCAAGCAAGACTCATTTAAAAATATGTTAATGACGCGGTAAAGAGAAGATTGTGAGACATCTTGCCATCAAAAGATTTTATTACTTAGAGATGTTAAAAAACTACAATAACAGGGATTTTGCTGGTTGAAATAAACTAACAAAATATTCTTTTCCATCTCGAGCCTACAATGTGATGTTATAAACATAAAATTAAGTTTTATTCTGTACATGAATAATCAATTATTTTAAAATCCCTAAATAATAAACCAGAACTAGAAAATGTCTTTACACGGTTCAGAATTAGAATTAGATCTCATAGTTTTTACAGTTGAGGTTCAAACGACACTACTTTTTTGGAATCGTCGATTCAATATTCAATATTTTATTGTTTAGTGGTGAACAGATTTAATGCACAATCAACGATATGATTATTTTACAAGTACAAGATTGACTAACTATAATAATCTAAAGATGTAATTAGTTAACAAAAACATAATCTTTTGCGCTAAAAATAAACTTATCATTATCTTCTCGGAATCGTCAGTTGGAAAAATTAAAGATAATTAGGATTGGAACTTTCGTTAGCTTTCGATATCTTCTAATTAGCTTATAGGGTCATTCAGCTCGTAACAGTATCCTATAAATCATACTATAGTATCCTCTAACATCTCCAGCACACGCAGTAAAGATAAAATAGCACTAAAAGTAAACCGTAAGGATAAAACCTGTTTTCATTAAGCAAATATTTTAAAATAACCCAGCATAGGATTTTAGCACTGTGCTAAAATACGAAGATGAATATAGCAATAAAAGTTGAGCTCGAAGCTCATATAGCTTTACGGGTTTGACGGCCCGTATACTCAAATAGAATATTTAGAGCAAATAAATTGACATTGGACGGGAGTTGGAACGTTTGTCTACTGTCATTTCAGCTTTCTATTTCAGAATTGCACAAACAGTGATGAATCCACACTGTTTGCTATAGTAATGGAAATATGAATTTGTGTTTGGAAATTTGAAAATTTCAAAATAAATTGATAGGTTACATTTA